GTGTCTCCTGGTGTCACAAAATTTCCAAAAAAAAAATTATTTTTTCTTATGAAATGATAGAGAATCTTTTCCCGATTGTAATGACACCAAAAACACGAAATTTGATGGAAAACTGACGGAATTACGCTCTCATGAAGTTAGTGACCTCGGCAATATTTACAAATTGGCGATTTCGCCCACTTTGACCCCTATTTTCGGCTAATTCCATTGTTCCAGTTAACCAAACTCATAGCTATTTCTTTAGAACTCCATTTTTTCTATCGACTGAGTACAAGAAACTGCCCATTTACCGATTTCAACTACCCAATAACGTGGTCAGAAATTTGCAATTTGGCCAATTTCACGAAAATTAAAAAATATGACAATTTCAAAATACGGTCAAGAATGAACAATGCAGACATTCCTGGCTCTAAAATAACATTTTCTTCGTTCATCAGTCACGTCTCCAAGCCCCTCTGATATTACTCTTGCTTTCTATTTTGAATTTTTATTCAAACAAAAAATAGAAGATTTACTGTTACGCAGACTACTGCAATACTGTAATAATTGTATAAATAACATCAACCCATTCATGACTGCATATTAGAATGGCTTAGTTGGACATTTATTGGATAATGACATCATTTGTTTACTTTTGAACATCGGCAAAAATCAAACATTTCCTCTACTTTGAGTTCAATTTCCAGGTTCTTTTTATAGTAAAATCAATCAAAATCACCTCTATTTCTATAATATGTTTTCCATTCTATCAAATGAGACCAAGAAAACGAGAATACAACCATAAATACTAAACGAAAGTAGACCACAAAGTCGGCATTTTAATTAAAAAAAACGGTCAGTTTTTTTTTTTCTCATTATGCACTGCATGCTCCAAGATCTTTTTTATATGGTGCACACAGACCCATTCTCTCACATGTGGGCCTACCAGCTTTCTCCTGCTTGATTTGAAGCCGCTAGAATTTATGAGTATACAGGTCTCCCTCAACATTCACGTTTTCAGCTTTCGCGGGCTTCACACATTCGCGAATTCCCAACCGCCAAATTCCCAGCCACCAAATTCCCAGCCGCCAAATCATATTCAAGTTTCCTGCCACCTGCGAGTCCCTACTACCCTCCCACCGACCCCCGCAACTGGCAGCCAGCCCTCCCACCACTCAGTGTGGTGAGTGTTTTGTTTGTTCATTATTTGCTATTAAACTACAGTATAAATAATGTAAACACATTCATGACTGCATATTGGAATGGCTATTTGGACAGGTATTAGACGGTGACATCATGTGTTTACTCTTGAACACAGCAAAGAATCAAACATTTCTGCTACTGCTAATAATAACAATAGTAATAATAATAATAATAATAATAATAATAATAATACGATATAATTGAAGAAGGAAATTGTACAAAAATACGAGGGAGTGGTTGACACATCGTCAGTGTGGCTTTGTTTATGCTGGAGTGAACATTAGTCTCCCTGCTCTTCCAAACATTTCACAATAATTCATTGTTTGGTGCTTGTAGATTGAGTGTGACTGGAGTGGTTGAGGCAGTGGTAGAGGCAGTGATAGAGGCAGTGATAGAGGCAGTGATAGAGGCAGTGGTAGAGGCAGTGGTAGAGGCAGTGGTAGAGGCAGTGATAGAGGCAGTGATAGAGGCAGTGGTAGAGGCAGTGGTAGAGGCAGTGGTAGAGGCAGTGATAGAGGCAGTGATAGAGGCAGTGGTAGAGGCAGTGATAGAGGCAGTGGTAGAGGCAGTGGTAGAGGCAGTGGTAGAGGCAGTGGTAGAGGCAGTGATAGAGGCAGTGGTAGAGGCAGTGATATTTACTAACATATATGTTATAAATAATAATAGTACATTATGAATAACTATTATTATTATTATAAATGTTATTAATATTAACATGTACTATTATTATTTATAACATATATATATGTTAGTAAATACCACTGCCTCACCAACTGCCTCTATCACTGCCTCTACCACTGCGTCAACCGCTGAATTATTGTGAAATGTTTGGAAGAGCAGGGAGATTAATGTTCACTCCAGCATAAACAAAGCCACACTGAAGATGTGTCAACCACTCCCTCGTATTTTTGTACAATTTCCTCCTTCAATTATATCGTATTGTTATTATTATTATTATTATTATTATTATTATTACTATTGTTGTTATTAGCAGTAGCAGAAATGTTTGATTCTTTGCTGTGTTCAAGAATAAACACATGATGTCACCGTCCAATACCTGTTCAAATAGCCATTCCAATATGCAGTCATGAATGTGTTTACATTATTTATACTGTAGTTTAATAGCAAATAATGAACAAACAAAACACTCACCACACTGAGTGGTGGGAGGGCTGGCTGCCAGTTGCGGGGGTCGGTGGGAGGGTAGTAGGGACTCGCAGTGGTGGAGGAAGTGGTGGAGGCATTGGTGGAGGCAGTGGTGGAGTCTGTGGTATTTAATAACATACATGTTATTAAAGCACAACATGTATATATTTAGTACAATTTACGACGTTTTCATGTATTTTATGATTGTTCATGGTTCAACAAGTTAAGCAGCATTGTATTATATTTCCCTACAATATATTGGGGCACCAAACATTCACGGTTTTTCAACATTCGCGAGGCTCTTGATCCCCTAACCCTCGCGAATGTTGAGGGACACCCGTATATACATCAAACACGGTACCTCGTAAGACGTATATATACGACCTCGACAGTCAAAGGGTTAATTAGGTCCTTTTTTTCTATCATATGAATGAAGTCTGATCATAATACTGTGTTTACTACCTTGTTTTCCTAGCAGACGCGTTTCTTTGATTTCACTGCTTTGCACGATAACTTGTATGTGGTCCTGTATTATCCTGATAGCAGTTTCTTTGCACTCGGCTTGGGATATGTCACTAGGAACGTGTGGGCTGTTTATTTTAACTGCATCAGACAGCTTATCTTGTTCGGTTTTGTCATCTTGGAAATCAAGGTATTCATTCAGTCGAGTGTGCATGTTCTGATTCCAGTCCTTATTGCTTCTTCAACCTTCATATTTAGGGTTGTTATTTGATCAATGTGACTGGCTATAGCTGTTTTCAGAGTATTTTCAGCACTTCCCGATGTAATCTTCTCTTCAAGGTTTTTTATCTTGTTCTCGAGGATGGTTACCTTGGACTCATGTCATTCAAGTGTTGCTTTAATATCTTTGTTTTCATTTTCTAGGGCGATGATATACAGTGGACCCTTGGCTAACAATATTAATCCGTTCCTGAGAGCTCATCGTTAGACGAAATTATTGTTAGCCGTATTAATTTTTCCCATAAAAAATAATGGAAATCCAATTAATTCATTCCAGGCAGCCAAAAGTATTAAAAAAAAAAAATCCATGAAATATACACTTCCCTATAAAGAAAACAATGGGACATGCACAATAGCTATATAAATAAATGTTAAAATGACACTTACCTTTATTGAAGAGTATTGATGAGTGATGAGACACTGTTTTTCTTGAACACACTGGAATTTTCAGAGTGATACATGAGTAAAGGCTTCACTTTGCAATCCCCACTAGCATTACAACAAAAGAAGAAAGTTAGCCTGTCTTTCATAGGCTTGTGTCCTGGGAGTGCCTTTTCCTCCTGAGTAATGTAGGTCCTGTTTAGCATTTTCTTCCAGAACAGGCCTGTTTCATCACAATTGAACACTACTTGTGGATGGAATTTTTCAGCTTCACCATGTCTTATCACACTGTATGCCACTCCGATTCTTAAATCTCTCAAACCAACCTTTGCTGGCCTTAAATTCACCAATATGAGCACTAGTTCCAGGCATTTTTTCCTGTTCACCTGAGTGTTAGTTGACTGGTGTGGGTCGCATCCTGGGGGACAAAATTAAGGACTCCAATGGAAGTAAGTTAGACAGTCCTCGATGACTTACTTTCTCGTGTTATCCTGGGTGGCTAACCCTCTAGGGTTAAGTGTTTTTCGGTAATTGTTTCTCATTAAGCCACACCAACAACAGTCTCTCCACATCTTCGAGTAGTACAACTGACAGTAGTGCAGCAACAGCTGACTGTGGTACGATAGTACGTATTTCAATAGTATTTCTCACCCTTTTTACCACAGGGTTGGCACTAGAAGCTTTCTTTTGGCCCATGGTGGCTTATTTAGCAGTTACAAGCACTATAAAGAATGGAATAATACAAAATGTATCGAATGTATGCATGAAACCGGCCACCCTGTCTTGTAAACAATGAATCCAGGGCAGCTGAGGCGCTTGGGCTGGACAGACAGGTTTGGCACGAATCACGTTGGGGGAGTTTTTTTTTTATCGTTAGGCAGGTCAAAAAATTTTCACTCAAACGCTTCATTAGGCGGATTTAACATTATGCAATGTGTTCGTTAGCCAAGGGTCCACTATATTCCCTAATAGTGTCAGGAAGAATCATACCTGGGTGTTCATGAGAGAATCCTTTGAAGGGAGTGGAGTTGGAGGGGCAGTCAGGCATGTTTGTTGTTCCCTGGGCAGTGATGAGGGGGGTTGATGATATACAGGCATCCTGCTGGGTAGACATGTTGAGCTGTAGAGACTGAAAAGCTTAAAATTACCTCTCCACTTCTTTCACCATCTCTATTAAAAAAGTTGCCTCTGAATAATATTGAGAGACTGCTGTACAGGCAAAATGTTTCATCAATAAATATACCCAGGTTGAACATGTTTTATTTATCAACTTGTTGTTTTTGTACACCATTAATGCAATGATACTTTAGATTGCTTCTTTCCATATTCCTTTTTTTAACTATTCATTTCCTACCTACCTTTACCTAATACTCTTTCTCCTTATGCCCAAGGTATTTTTTAATTTGATCTCTTCCCATTTCCAGGCCTTCCCTGGCACCTTACCTTCTTTTTTCCTCATAAATTCCAGTCTTCTGTATTTCTTTTTACTCCCCCCATTTCAATAATTTTCCAGTTATATAAAAGTAAATGGTACTCTTCTTTCTTTATAGATTCTACGAATGAGATTGTCAAGAGTGACATTTGGTTCCGGTTTAAGGAGGGCTATAGTAATGCTGTAAGAAAACCCATAAAGATGAGTGATCTAGCTTAGTCTCTTAAGTTGTTTCAAGATTACTGAAAGGAACTTTAACCTTTTTTTTTTATTTAAATGGTGTTAAATGCTAGTATAGTATTAAAAGTTTTGTAAATTTATATGATAATAAAAGTTTATTATATATTTTTGTTTTCTTTTCTTAATGATATTTGTGATAATTACTTTTTTTTTTTTTTTTTTTAAGAAATTCTGTAAATTTCAAGTTTAAACATTAACCCTTTCAGGGTCGCCAGGCCCTCTCCAAGACTTGTTCTCAGGGTCGCCAAATTTTCAAAAAAAAAAAAAAAATTTCTTATGGAAAGATAAGAGAATCTTTTCCCTATCATAATGACACCAAAAGTATGAAATTTGATGGAAAACTTACGGAATTATGCTCTCGCGAAGTTAGCAGTCTCGACGATGTCTATGCAGCGGCGATTTTGCCCACTTTGAGCCCTATTTTCGGCCAATTCCAGTGTACAAGTCGACAAAAATCATAACTATTTCGCTAGAACTCCATTTTTTCTATCGAATGAGTACAAGAAACCATCCATTTACCAATTTCAACTATCCAATTAAGTGGTCAGAATTTAGCAATTTTGCCAATTACACACAAATTTCAAAAGATGCCGATTTCCGAATAGGGTTCAGAATAAACAAGAAAGACATTCCTGGCACTAAAATAACATTTCGTCTGTTCATTAGTCACGTCCCCAGGCCCCTCTTACATTCTTTTGCTTTCCACTTTGAATTTTTATTCTCACAAAAAATAGAAGATTTACTGTTATGCAGACTACCGCATTAGTGTAGAATTGGTATAAATAATATCAGCGCACTTGTGAAAGAATATTAGACTCGCCAGTTGATGTGTATTGGACGCGTAGCATGATTTGTTTACTTTTGAACTTTGGTAAAAACTGAACATTTCTGCTACTTTGAGCTCAATTTCAAGGTACTTTTCATTGTAAAACCAGTCAAAATCACCTTAATTTCTGTAATATGTCTTCCATTCTATAAAATGAGACCAGGAAAACTAGAATACAACAAAAAATACCATACGAAAATACAGTGCAAAGTCGCTGTTTTAATCCAAAAACACAAAGATTTTTTTTCCCTCATTACGCACTGTGCTGCAGGATTTTTTTTATACTGCGCACACTGGCCACAAAGACCCATTCTTTCATTTGTAGGCCTACCAGCTTTCTCTCACTAGATTTGAGAGCGCTAGAATTTAGGCGTACTAGTACGTCAAAAACCCTGGTGCGTAAGCCGTACTAGTATGTCCGAAACCCTGAAAGGGTTAATCAATTAATTTTTTGCCCAATAGATTGTCTTGCTATACCCAGTAATTTGAATTTTTCAGCATTATGGACTAAGTGACCATTTACAATTACAACCAATTTCACCTCGGCAACAAACAATAATACCTAATTATACATAAACATTGCTTCCTATGCAATATATAATGGTGTTCCACAAGGCATAATCTTTATTTTTAAGACAGTCCCAATTTTATTGAGTAACATTAACAATTTAGTCAGATCTATAAAGTAAATGATTAAATAATCATTTTAGATTGCATAACAGTGAAAAATTACTGACTCACAAAATCGTAATGACACTCCAGACCAGCTAACACAACGGTCTGGAGTTTTGAGACTCTCTGATCGCGGGTTCTATCCCCGCCCATGGTATGGTTTATAGTGCTGTATAGCCCTTGTGGCTTAGTGCTTCTTTTTTGATTATAATAATAATAATGGTTTATAGTGAAAAATTAAAGTTACAATGGGACGAATGTATTTGAAGCCCATAGTATGCACAGGATTATTTTGTAGATGAATATTTAAATATGACCTCTACCTTTACTGATGCCTCAGTGAAGGTAGAGGTCATAGGGTGAGAGGGACTCCTGATCCCAGAAACTGATTTTTTACTCCTTACATCATCTCCACCTTTAAGTGTACCTTGCAACATAAAATGATCAGCACAAGTTTAATGGTTTTCTTGCTTACTATTACTATATTCATGGGAAAGCACTAAACCCATAGGGGTTATACAGTGCCTGAAAGAGAAAGAGGAGGAAAAAGTAGTAAAGAAATGACTTTCATGAAAACAACAGTGAACAATTCTATAATTCTAAACTGCTGTACATGAGTATTCAGCTGTTATTGAATGTTGGTCCTCAGCAGAACTTGAGCTTTGTATATTTTAATGTGACATTTATTTTATTGTAATTGGGAGAGGTGCTAAATGCAGAGGAGTCTTATAGTACCTAGAGAATGGGAAGCATTCAGGTTTGATCCAAGGAAGGGGAATACAAACCCAATTCCTTGGATCAAGAAGCCTTCACTGACACTGGGGTACCTCCCTTGAGGTGCTGTACAAGACTTACAACTTATCAACACGACAGGATAAATTTTTGTTTACACAAACTGTTACTTGAGGAGGTATTACTGAAACTAATATGCCTATCTTGGGTTGAATTCTGTGTCAGAGTCAATCAAGTGTTAGTATTTGAGTCAGACAATGCACCTGGCCATTCATAATAAACTTAAACAAAGATATACAGTGACATTTCTGCAAATAATAGTTAGGTGTCATTAGGTTTTTTTCTTAACTGCACAGCCTAAAACATTCTCTGTGGCAGAACCCACTTAATATTGGACATACTTAACTATAATTTATGCCAAAATAAGCCAAGGACCAACATTTAATTATTACAAACTTCACATATGGTGATGTAAATGGATGTCAATAATAAACAATATACACCATAAAAATGGTGTTTATCCAAGACCACTGATACTGTATTTGCTTCAGCAAGACTTAAGAAGTCTTTTAGCTGCAATAATCAATGCCTACCTTAGATTCTATGGTAATAAGACAAGAACCAAGGTGTGCAGCAAGCAGCTTTACCTTAGTGTAGGATGCCCAGGTGTAGAGGGCAGAGTGGAGGGGAAGTAAACAGTAATAATTACAAATTTAAAATATGTGAAGAGAAAAAGAGCAATCTGATGTGAATAAACAAGTGAAGCAGGAAGAAAATACTAAAAAGGCAAAGCAACTGTGGGTGAAATGTCACAGGAAACATCTGCATTAATGATGGTACATTTAGAGATGAGGCATTGAAAGTGGTTAATAAGTTTGTGTACATTTATATACTGTATTTCATGGACATCGTCACTGAATCATGTTTGTAGAATATCAGTTCTTCAGTATTTTAACAGAAGATGACACAATGTCATATTCTCTTAAATTCAGACTTATGCAAAGAAATAGAAAGGTGGTTCTTGAAAGTTTTATCGTGGTGACACATAAATCGGTTTACCTCTATGAAACCTCTGAAATCCAAGTGGTCTCACTGCCTTGCTGAACTTCATGCTAAGCTGATTAGAGAAAGTTTCTGGGAGGGGTTTGCGAAGTCGAAGAGCAAATACTCCCCCATAGATCTCATTCCAAATGGTCTGTGCATCGAGACTGTTCAAGTCTTCCATCACTGTTAGGATGGGGAGGATCCTATTTGGTGGCTCCTCTGTATTTGAAGCCAAAATTTCAGATGGAAAGATTGATGAATCAGGTTCTGAGAATTGGTTCAAAACAGGAACAGGAGAGGTGGTCTCGAGTTTCAAATCCACAGGGTTCACCAAGGGCTCTAAATGAACTTTTGAAGATGTGTGTGTCGGCTGACTGTCTGAGATAAGTTGTTTGTTGATTAAGTAGTTTCTGGATGTGGTTGTGATAGTTGGCTGTATTACAGATTCCATGGAGGAACTCAGAGTGTTTGTAGGTAAAACTCCAACAAACAAGAGAGGAGTCAGGTTAGGGCACTCAATACTATAATAATCTCTGTTTGATAGACAAATTCCATGTTCCACCATAGCTTGATGGACATTGAGATTGTAGTTATCTAGGATTGGTAGTAGTGACTGAAGAAAGTTCCTATAATGAATGCAGGAGCATTCCCCAATATTGTTGTTGGGTACAGCTACATTAATAGTTGGGTCGGTTATGAAAAAAGCATGTCTGGGGATAGTTCGTGGAAGTACGTTATTAGTGAAGTGAAAGAAGGGTACAACAGTGCTTCTGCCATGTTTTGATTTGTGGAGGTCAAATAGAGGTTGGGGCTTTTCACTGTCAAGAGCCACTGGATTGATATAGTCACTATCTATTATGACACCATGAGAAAATCTACCACTTATACCCCCAGGCTCATAATTGCCTATACTGCTTTTAGTAAGGTAGAAAAAGGCCGCATGTTTCATTCTAATGGCATTGCTCACAATCTTTCTGATGTTACATTTGTCTATTTCAAAAATTTCTGCATTATCCAGCCATATGCCATGCTCATGAATCATGTCTATGGAGGATTCTTCAAGAGAAAAATATGCTATTTTACCTTTCCCTCTGCCAAAGGCATTACGTTCCATATTACCAATTTTTGAATTTACAAATTTCATATAACTAATGTGCATTAGGTCTGAGAATGCATAACTGGAAATTGTACCTATTTCAACATTCTCAAAGACTATGCTGATGATACTCTCAAGGGCACCAAAACTGAAGCTGGGTATGACAGGAATGTTTGTGTTCTTTATGACTACAGAAGAAAGACGGGAGAGACCATAGAGGAAGGCTTGAGTAGAGATGCTGAGTGTATTCACCTCTCTTATTATGAGGGAGCGCAGGGAAAGAGGTGCCAGCGAGTCCAATATACCCAGCGTAGCACATCCCACCACAGTCAAATTGAACATGTTGTCAGGGACTTCTGAAGATCTGATAGTCACATTCTGGTGGAAGAAATGTATGATAAGCAAGTTAGTACAATATTGTACTGTACTGTGTACAGCACAAGTTAGGGACACCATGAAACACACTGCAGTTTGGTAGCATCTACATGCTTCACAGTGTGTGTCAAGTGGTACCATCTACACACTTCACACAGCATGGCATCATGTACTACCATGGTAGCATCTACACACTTCACACAGCCTATGTTAAGTGCTATCATGGCAGTATCTACACGCTTCACACAGCATGGCATCTTGTGTTACCACAGTAGCATGTACGTGCTTCACACAGCATGGTGTCTAGTGCTACCATGGTAGCATCACACGCTTCACACAGCATGGTGTCAGGTGCTACCATGGTAGCATCTAATGGGAAATTTTAACTTTAGACAAACTAACTGGAGCAATTTGACAGGAAATTAAGAGTCAAGTGATTTTCTTGATACAATTCAGGATTGTTTTTTAAAACAGTTTGTAACAGAACCAACTAGAGGAAATAACCTGCTTGACTTGGTTCTTGCCAGCAGGGAATCACTAATTAATAATCTTGAGGCTAAAGATGAGGTTGGGGAAAGTGATCACAAATCACTCAGTTTTAATATATCATGGAAGTACCCTAATAATGGCAATCAAGTTTCTGTCCCTGACTAATGCCTGGTTGATTCCATAGGACTGAGAAATTACCTGGGTGGGCTGAACTGGAATGACCTGACTATATGTCAGGTAGGTGGTGATGGTTGCCATAATGATGTTTTTCAGAGAATAGTTCTAGTTGCTCAGACAACTTATGTTCCGAATAGGGAAATCAGATCAAACAAAAATTATCCTAAATGGACAGACAATAGATTCAAATATCTCTCTGATCAAAAGAGAGGCATATGTAGGCAAATCAAAAGAAGAGAGGGGGAATTAAGAAATCAATATATTCAGTTAAAGAGAGAAAAAAGGGAATAAGAAAAACAAAGAGAGATTATGAGGTTAAAGTTGCATGGGGAATTGAAGAGTAACCCAAAAGGATTCTTTCAGGTTTACAGAAGCAAGATTAGGAACAAGATAGGCCCACGCAAAAGTTACTCAGGTCAGCTCACCAACAGTGATAAGGAAATGTGTAAAATTTTTAACACTTCCTCTCAGTTTTTATGCAGGAAGATACTAGCAATATTCCAAAAATAATAAATTATGTAGAACAGGACGATAAACTAGGCACAATTAGGGTCACAAGTGACATGGTTCCTAGACAAATAAATTAAAACCTAACAAATCCCCAGGTCCTGATGAACTGTACGCAAGGATTCTAAAGGAATGTAAAGGGAAGCTTAGCAAACTTTTGGCTAATGACTCAAGAAATCGTAATGACACGATTGCAAACAAACCATACCCCCGGCCGGGATTGAACCCGCGGTCATAGAGTCTCAAAACTCCAGCCCGTCGCGTTAGCCACTAGACCAGCTAGCCACAATAAGATTCATCCAACTAGGCTGGAGTTTTGAGACTCTATGACCGCGGGTTCAATCCCGGCCGGGGGTATGGTTTGTTTTGGCTAATCTTCTCTATGTATCACTACAAAATGGCATATTGCCAGATAAGTGGAAAATGGCAAATGTGATACCCATTTTCAAAGCAGGTGACAGGTCCCTAGCTTCGAACTAGACCAATAAGCCTAACCTCCATAGTGGGAAAATTTATGGAATCAATAATTGTCGAGGCAATTCATAGCCATCTTGAAAAGCATAAAGATATCAACGAATCTCAGCACAGTTTTACAAAAGGGTGCTCCTGCCTTACGAATTTATTAACTTTTTTCACTAAGTATTTGAGGAGGTAGATCATGGTAATGAATATGATAATGCATATATGGACTTCAGTAAGACTTTTGATAGAGTCCCACATCAGAGACTATTGAGGAAAATTAAGGCACACGGAATAGGAGAAAGTTTTTCCTGGATAGAGGCATGGTTGACAGATAGGCAGCAGAGATTTTGCATAAATGAGGAGAAATCGGAGTGCGGAAGCGTCATGAGTGGTGTTCCACAGGGGTCAGTGCTGGGCCTCTTGTTGTTCACAATCTACATAAATAACATAGATAAGGGAATAAATAGCAGCAAAGCAAGTTTGCCAACTACACCAAAATAAGGCCATTGAATTCATTCTGGCATGGACATTAGAGCACTCCAGGAAAATTTGAATAGACTGATGCAGTGGTTGGAGAAGTGGCAGATGCAATTTAATATAGACAAATGCAAAGTTCTAAACATTGGACACAAAAATAACCATGCCACACAAACTAAATAATGTAGATTTTAATATTACTGACTGCAAAAAGGATTTGGGACTTCTGGTTAGCAGTAGTCTAAAACCGAGACAACAGTGCATAAGTGTTCACAATAAAGTAAACAGAATCCTTGGCTTCATATGAAGAAGCATAAATAACACTGATCTGCATGATTTTTTAATAACTCTATGGTATCTTTCTCAGTACATGTATATACTATATGGAAAATAGTGATTCATTGTGTTTTTTATTCATCTCTATCACTTCAGGTTGTCAAGTTATACGGAAACGTTACTTTTTTCGTGTAAGTAAATGAGAAAGTGGTATATTACCAATTAAATTGCTTACCTTATGTTGACTTTAATATTAAATCTAATATATTTTTCTTTATTTTCAGATTATTAATATGTCTAGAGCTG